ACCCACCAACTTAAAACTGTACAATTCAGTGGTTTTTTAGTATATTTATAATTTTGAAATCTTCTACATCCTCCTTAATTCCTGGCTCACTGCAAAATAGCCCTGTTCCCAGGCTTTTGGCAGTGGAATAGTTGAGCTGTTTTTTAAAATGGTACTTTTGTGAGGTTATGGTCATCCCAAGTAGAGGGGGCATGACAATACTTTTATGTTGCTTATGGTACCAGAGACTTTTCTCATGGGAGGAACTGATCATCACAGAAACCATATATGAAGGTGGCCTTTTTTCTAACTTGACTTAGCACATGAATAATTGATTTGTTTGAATTCAATACTATACAGAATCAGACAATCTAAATGAAAATTGTGTCTTCCCAGTCAATTATGTTATTTTACTTGTAATATTTTTTCAAACATGTTTTGTATAAGTTTAAGAAGGCTGGGAAAGATCGCTAACATAAAGGTGCCTTTACTTTTTTTGTGGTAAAATTGATTTTCGGAATTTCTTCATAAAATTTAGAAATAATGTTATTAACTGTTGGCTACATTGTCATTATTACATTTTGCCCTATATTCAACACTGTGTAAAAGACACACGATAGGAAATAAATTCTGATGGACCAGTAGATGTAGTATGGATTGAGAAGATGAATTTTGTACTGGATTACGACAAAAAGCTGTGTCTGCTGAGTGGGGAGAGTGTTCATGTCACCAAAAGTGAATCTTATTTTTGAACCAAAAGATGTAGCTCTTTCTCCTCCTACTGTAACTTTTCAGTGTTCACATCTATTTATCAATTGGAAATCTTGTAAGTGCACTGCTACTTTGGGTGATTTTGACTTTAGATGAAAGAATTAGGGTTTAAAAGTAATTTAAATGTTAATATTTGACTTAGTTTTATGGCTGTCATTTATTTTATGGCTACTTTTACTTTATGGCAAATAACAGATTCCCCATTGAAAAGATTTAGTGGAAGTTTGCTTTTCAAATCATTGTAGGTCAAATAAGTTTTTTACTGAAAAAGATGAGTTAAAAATTTAGGTGTGCGCTCTCCTGCCTGCCTGTGACGAGGTGTTTCTTTTCACAAATCCTTTTCCCTTTGCAAAGTAGCAGCAGCAGCTCTCCTGCCTACCTGAAACTACACAGGTGTCTCTTTTTCTTTCTCCTTTTCCTAATAAACCTGTGCTTTTAAAATGTAAAAGAAAAAAAAAATTAGGAGTGCTAGTATGTTCTTATGGGGAACTCAGGATGTCAGTAAATGGATGGCTGAACAAATCCTTCTCCCTTCTCTGTAGAGGAGGAAGATGCAATCGCTTAGACCAGGAATGACTGATGAATGTTACTTCCGATGTTAAGACCCTCAGCATCAGTAGAGACCACAGAGGTGTTCACGGTGAGGCCGGCAGAGCATGGAATCCATGTACCTATGCTTACAGTTTCTAAAATTAACCCATAGAGAACATAAGTCAGTGTCCCTTTCTATATTACATTCAGCAACACAAGGGTCACTGAAGGTTGGGGCTGTTTGAGAAATGCATCGGAGGCATTTTCGATGTGTGGATGTCTGAGTGTAATACACAATGTAGACGGTGAAGCCTACCGCACACCCAAGCTGCTCAGCATAGCCTACTGGGTCTGCTGTCCTTTATACATATGTGGCCCATTGCTGTCTGATGTTGTTAAGTAACTCATGATTGCAATAAGTTCTATGCTATTAGTTCCCCAGGGCATTTCTTGCATGAGACCATCCTTCCCTACAATTAGTGCATAGAATCCATGACGAGAGCACTCACTGTTCTTCATTTTCTCTTGCTCGGTCTCTCCATCCTCACGGACTTTGTGTTGTAGGCTACACTCAGGTTCTATTACACAGGAAACACTCTCACCCTAGAGAGAAGCATTTATTTGAGAATCAACACCCTAGTTATACAACAAGTCCTTAAATATTTTTCAGTGAAAAGGCTAAGTGGGAGTTTATGACCTCCCACCCTCAAATCCCCATCTTGAATCATTTGACCTCTGCCTTTAATTCTCCATTCTTAAATCATTTATTTTTATATCCCTTTCACATGCATCTCAAGAGCTGTAATAATAAGAGTTTTAAAGACTAAATGCCCTTATTTTCCTTTTGTGTGTGTCTGAGGGTCCTGCAGCAGATGACAGAACCTTTTTTTTTTTTCTTAACCACCTTTTTAAGTCCCATAGACCTGGGTTTCAGTTCTGACTACGTGTACTTGGGCCAAATATGTGATTTTTCTGAATCTGAGTTCTCGCCTTCAAAAAGAAGAGGGCATAATTTTTCTGATTAGGGTTAAGTGAGATAACATATATGAACGGTTAGGTTGGTACCTGTCATCCATACAACACTAATAAATAGTTGCTTATAATATTATTTTATTACCAGAAGGTATAAAGATACTTTCTCTTTTCTACCATTTGTTCAATTCTCCATTCTTAGCCAAATTTCTTTTTGTTGTGTATGTATGTGAAAGCATAATGAATCATATCAAAACAACCTCTGAAGTATATTTTAATCACATAAATGGATAATGTATGTGTATGTGTAATCATATGTGTGTGTGTAATAATCACATATGCAGGGGAAAACAATGTTTATTCAAGTCAATTGGACTGACTTTGACCAATAATTATTATCCTCCACTGGTGTGATGAGAAAACAACTACCTTTTATTAGATTTTTCTTTCTTCTTTATCCTCCCTTCTTCTTTCTCTGCTCTTTTCTTTCTGCTAAAAGATCTGCTAGAAGAGGGCCTCCCTAGTGGTGTAGGGGATACGTCTCAGATTTAACACCACAAAGGCCTGAATTCACATGTGGCACAGCAGACCTCTCCTGTCTTACCTGCTGCTCTCCTTAGCAGTATATTTCAGTCAATCTGCTTGTTCTGCTTTCTACTGTCTCTGGTGAATCCTCTCACCCCCAGAACCTCTAGGCTATACCCCCATTCTTTTATGCAACAATAAATAAAATAATTTTAAAAAATTGCTAGAATGTTCAAATAGAAACAACAACAACAACCCAACAACTATTGAGGTTTTTCTAACTAACTTAAATGATATCCTTAAATAAATGTTTACATGACCATCAGAGAACAAAATAACACCTCCTAAAAATGATAAGGGTGATCTGTTTCATCCTAGAATTTGATAGCTTCTGATTTTCTCACATACAAATAAGAAAAATCATTAATATCTTTTCTTCTCCCTCCCATCTTTTACTTAATTTTCATCAAGAAATGATTCAGAGAATTTTAATCAAGTTGAATCACCATGGAAATAACTGTCTTCCAATTTACTCAAGAATGTAACAAGGTCCAAAGATAAACAGAACACTTTATTATAAAACTTATAAAATAATTAAATATTACACATATATTTTGACGTTTCTCTATAACCCATGGTTTTATTCAACATTTTCCCTCAGAATTAATATCACTTACTCAGAAAAGCAAGAGAGAACACATAAGAATAGGCTATTAATAAATTAATTTTTCCATAAAATAATAACATGATAATTATATAAAAAAAAACAAATAAGTCGCTATTTTTCAGAGGGCAGGGGGGTGTTGATGTGGAACCACTGTTTTTCTGGTGACAAAATGGCTGCTCCTCTAGGCAAAGCCAAGCGGACTGAGAGAACATTCAAATAATTATGTCTCTGTTTTGAGAATGCATGATTTTAATTAGAATATGAACAAAGGGTGCTCTAAATTTAACAAACCACTGTCTAGTTGGTTATGCTGAGCTGGCAAATCCCTGTTTGAATGGAGACTTCTAAAATGTAATGAAATTGGGTTACATTCATCAAAGAAATTGAGGAATCAAGTTGAATTATATAAATATGCCCTTTATAACCACATCTCAAAATATTACAGAAGGACACAGTCTTGTAAGTTACTTTGCTTTTGGCGGAAGAGTGTGGTGTTTTTCCAATTGAGAACAATTTTAAGCTCATTAATGCCTAACAACAGCTGGCTTGTGAAGACTGAAAATATCTTCTGAAAGAAATACTCATATTCATTAAAGGGTCTTGGCATATTATGATTTGTTAATATTAATGTAGCAAGACAACAGATGGATTTTTCTATTGCCGCTATGACTCTTTTCTCATTAACTAAATCCTAGGGCAAATTTAAACATGTCAGTTGGTAGGGGGAAAAAAAAGCCACAAGTGGCCTTTAATTTCCCAAGCAGTTCTGATAACATGTCAGGAGCATTATAAACAGTGCCCTCTCCCTCAAAAATACTGCTGTTTTGCTACTTAGCTCCTCCTAGATTTCTTAGTCAAAAATGAACACCTTACCAGTTCTGACTCTCAAAGAGAAGATTCAAAGACCCTTGTTCTTACTTAGCTAGCACCAAAAGTTATGAGGTTGCTATCATGTACAGGGCATTAATATTTGCCTTTTTATGCGAGTTTTGTGCCCCCCCCCTTTAATTAAATGGACATCGTAACTAGGCTGTATGGCTCTGTTTCAGGCTATTTCTTGGAACACTTTTCAAGTTGTTAATTTTAGTCTTGGAGACTCTATAAGCAGAATATACTTTAAACAAAATATTAACAACACACGCACACACACACACTAAATAAACAGATAGGAAGCTTGCTAGTCCAGCAGCAAGCATCATCTTGAGCACCATTTGGCTTCTGCATAATTCCTGGCTGGGGGGTGAGCCCAAGTAGCAGGCAGGATGTTCTCTCTCTCCATGTTGGAGAGGCTCCCAGTCTCATTCTTTCACCTGGTGTCTTTGCCTTTGATCTGTCCCCAAGTTGCCAAGATTCTCACTTTGTCAAGAGTCAAGTTTGATGTAGCTCAGCGGGATTCATCACTTCTTGCATATAACAGTGCAAAGCAAAGTCCTGTTTCTGTTCATTTTGTGCTCAGATTTGTCATCGCTTCCCATTTTCAAGTGCTTCTGAGTACCATGTGCTTGGGGGAACAGAGTCAGGTAGAGCCACCTCATTCAGTGTGGCAGCCGCTCACAGAGGGTGTCAGCTCTCAGCTGTGGATAGGGGAGGCAGCTGGGCGCCCCAAAGGTCAAAAGGTAAGACCTTGATAACCTCAAGATCAGCTTTTCCTTGTGCATGACTTGCAGCACTGCTTGCCATAAAACTTGTGGTTGCAGACTCCGTGTTGAAGAACGAGATGACACCAGCTAAAGAAATCGACACAGGATGGGTCCTCTAAAGTGAGAACAGGTATTGAGTGGGTTAGAATGAGGATCTTAGCCTTTTTCTTAAAGGGGAGAGGCTGCAGAACAGAAGCCCACCTGCCCTGTGAGTCTGTGTGCTTCTTCCCATGACACATTAGGACTTTAAGGGATAGTAACTAATGTAGAAAAATTTAAAGAGGAGGGCAGAAAATAGCTATTACACAGAGCTCATATCCAGCCAGAGATGATTTCTGGTCCTCTCCCAAGTGGCCTTGGAGACCCCACCTTGCAATCAGGAATCCTTTGAGAATCTTGCTAAGTTACTGGTCGTGCTTCAAAAGGTCAGGGGTGCCTGAGATCTCTAGCAAGTCTCCAGAAGGTGCTGCTGACCCGGGAGATCCTATACTTTGGGGAGCAAGGAGCTTAATGTATTGGCAGCTAGGACATCTGAATTCGAGGCCCAGCTGCAGCCCCAGTTCAAATAGTGAGTTTCTATCAGCACTAGTCCTTTCTAACCTCTCACTGGTGTCAGTCACTTAAGAGCTACTGGAAGTAGAACAGGACAATGGCGTACATCTTATGACTGTCCTGGGCCTTTTCTGAAAGCCTCAGGACTTGCACTTTTTTGTGGGCTTCTGGACTGTGTCTGTACATGTGTGGGTCCATCTGCCTCCTGGCAGGAGGGATGAGAAATCGGTGATGGTGAAAAAGGACAAAATGGTCTGGCAGACGTGACCATTTGCTTGAAAAGTGTTTCTTTCCCTGTCTGATTAGTGTTCGGCAGATAAAGGCGGCAGGCTTGCAGGATTCCAGCGCTGCTCAGAAGCGCTCTAGCTCTGAGGAACTGCAGTACAACTAGTTCTCTCGTCCTCTGCAGGTCTCAGACTCAGATAAGATAGGAAAGACAGCAGAGAAGGGAAATGGATGCTCAGAGCCTGGAGTTAAGGCTGTAAGGTGCAGATCAAGCAAAACTACTAGGAGACAGGGAGCAGCAGGGTGGGGAGAGCAAGGGAGAACAGTCCTGAGCTGGATTCACCGCAGGTTGGAAAATGTGGGGTAAGAGGCTGGATGGTCTGGGAAAAGCTGGATAAGAAGGATTCTTTAGCACATCAGTGCAAGGGTATCCAACGTAGCTGAAGCGTATTTCCTGGTGTCAGGTTACTTTAAAATAAATTGGACTCATGAAAATTGAATTTCCCATTTTTCCGTTAGTACTCACTGCATTTCATTTGAACTGGCTCAAAGTGAGAAAACATTTGAGGCATAATTCTAGACTAATACCTATGTAGTCTAATAGGCTGTAATTTATCTGTCTCCTCCATTAAAACATGAGCTCCCTGTGGGCAATTCTTGTTCACTCCTGCATTCCTACTGCCTCGCAGAAGGTGCACTTGGTTCATCTTTCACTTTGTGTTCAAGTGAAGTTTAGTTTTAACAAATGGACTTGCAAGGAGACCATTTCCCCCTTTCAAAGACAGAATGATGGCTAAAAAGCCTTGTCACTGAATTAAACATTCCTGTATACCCGTGCAAGCAAGATGGGCTTGTGTCTGTGGACTTCCTGGAAGGCCCCTCACGCACACTGTGACCTGAGTGCACAGCCGATGCGCGGTGGCCCTGGAGGTGCCAGCCACATAGGGCGAGATTTCGAAAATTTTGCTGAAGACTAGTACAAGGGACCAGACAGTGGGGCCCTTTACCTCTCTTTGCAGGAGCCGGACAGAAGTTTGTATTACAGGCTCGTAGCACTGGAGGTTTCTGACGGAGCAGGCAGCTGGAGGCAGGTCGGCCCTGCTGAACACAGTGGACCAGTCGGGTCTGGATGCCTCCGCCACACGTCACTGTGCACTGCAGAAGTGGGCGAGAGAAAGGTATCAGAGCATACAGGGGCATGGTGTCCCCTCTGTGTCACTGGCATCAAACAGAAGCGATCCCCAGGCTTCGTGAGATCACCCAGATTCTGTCCATAAAACAGGGATGCCCAGTGCCGGGGGCACCAGGGGCCACTTGATCTGATGAGGAGGCAGAGGCTACAGCTGCCATCTCTCTTGCCCCAGGGTGGATATCTCTCAGAGAACAGAGCTCCCAGAAATGCAGAAGCTGCCGTAGAATGCGTGGCCAGATGTGGACGCAGCTAGGCAGTTAATCACGGTGTTTAAGGAATTCCAGAGAATCTTTGTGGATGCCCCTCTGGCGAGGATTATAGTCCAGACCTGTGGCTCTGGTGTCCAGGCAAATTTGGACTTAGCACGGTGGGTGTGGGACTCCCTAGAAATCATGGGTTTCCCCACCTGACTAAAATGAACAAAGACAAGATAAAGGACTGTCAATACCTTTTTTTCAAGACACATATGAAGATTTCATATAAAGATATCTCAGAACAACAACAAAAAACACAACAAGAAAATATTGTCATGAAAAAGCCCTCAATTGTGTTGTTTTAAAAATGTACGTTATCCTTAATCTTCTTATTTTATAGCAGACAGATGAAAATGGCAGCCTGAACAAGTGTCATTGTCTGGACTGGCATTTGGGGTGCAAAAGGTATGAGTTTTGGAATCACTCCCACATTCAAGCACCGCTGACTGGTTGTCATCACACCAGCTAAAGCAGGAGTTGGCAAACTTACTATCACGTCCTTTACAGAGCATTTTAAGCTTTCTGGGACATGTGGTCTTTGTTGTTACTTAATTCTGCCTGGTAGCACTAAAACAGCCACGAACAATATGTCCACGAATGCACAGGGCTGCGTTCTAATAAAACCTCATTTACAGAAAACAGACAGGAGCGCAGCTCTGACCAGCTGGCAGTTATTTGCAGATCTCAGATGTGAGTGAAGTTACAATTTCCAAATCTGTTAAGTAGGTAAAATAATGATAAAAATTAAAGGGAACCCATAAAAATAGGAAGAGCCAATTAGAGACATGCACGGTAGTTCCTGCTACCAGAGCCTCTCAACCACACACACACACACACACACACACACACACACACACAGAGCTGACCTTTGCGCATGGGTTTGAACAGCATGGGCCATTTATATGTGGATTTTCTTATAGACATACCACGTTTTGACAAATACAGCACAGCCCTGTGAATGTATTTTCTCAACATTTTCCTTTAGCTTTATAGTATGGAACAATACAGCATATAATGACAACATATAAATGTGTTATCTGATTACAGATGTTCTCAAAAGGGTTCTGGTCACCCCAGAAGTTACCCGTGGACTTCTGATGGCCTGGGGAGTGGGGAGGCAGCGGTTGCCCTAAGCCCAGCATTGCTCAAGTCGGCTGTGTCTGCTTCCAGGTACCTGTATACACACCTGGACATGTGCCACTGCTGCGCTTGCACCCCTGCACCCCTACCCATGTTTCATGGTGTGGAGGTCAGCACCTCTTGATCCTGGGGGCTCTTTGAAGAGCGGTGCACCCTCTGTGGGTTGGAATGCTGCACAGCCCCAAACACTGCTTTGGTCACATGGGCTTGGTTCTTCTGGGCTCCGAGTGGGGTGGGATGCGAACCCTGGGCAAACACTGTGTCCTCAGCCATCCAAGCCTTCTGAGAACAAGGGTGCCTCAACCCTCTGAAGAGCCAAAAAGCTGGGTGTCCTTGGCTGAACTGCTTCAGTTCTGAGATCTACGTTTGCTTCACGAAACAGAAGCCTCAATAGCGCTAGGAGGTTGTTGTGAGCAGGATGGAGCAAGAGAATAGAGAATGCAGGTGAAGAACCAGCAAGCCTTTGACAAACGGTGGCTACACTCAGAATCATGACCTAACCACCACAGTAGTTAAGACTGTGAGCTTTTCGAGAATAAAGAAAACTCTGGTGGTGGTTTTGGTAACATGAAACATTAGCATCAGTTAAAACAAACGCAACTACCATCATCTCCATTTCCTAGATGTGAAAGCTGAGGCTCACTGATCAGCCTGCTCCAGATCATTCAGAGGCCCACACGGGGCAGACTGCCCAGAGGCCTGTGTCCTTTATGTCGGGACAGGTCTCTAAGAGCAACTGTGGACTGCCTCCTAATTTTCTGAACCCCAAATACAAACCTCCACCTGCAGGTACTCACCTGTTGCCAGGGTGACGCATACCATCTGGCTGCCATGTTGTACACTGGACGGGCTGGACAGGCCCCTCGGTTGCAGGTCTCTTCCAAGGCCAGGCTTGGTTTTTTGATATTGCGGCATCTCCGCTCCGGGAAGGATATCAGCTTTCCCTGGAGGGCCTTCTCGCTACACTGCATGTTCCTCTTCCTCACTCCCACGCCGCAGCTCGTTGAACACTAGAAGCCAAGAAGGGAGGTGTGAGAGTGTGGAGCTCCAGGGGCCAGTCTGCTGAGCAGCTGTGTGCCGCGTGAGGGTGAACCAGGGAGGTGAAATGAGGTGGGATCACAGGCGGTCAGCCACACACCTGGTGCCAGGTGCCTGCAGATGTGCAACCAGGCCCCTCATCCTCCAGCAGGGGAAACCAAAGGCCACAGAATTCAAGAGACTCTCCCAAAGTCACAGACCTCATGAACATCTAGAAACAAAATGAGGCCAGCACGGGCCAGGAGACACCACATGCATATGAGATCTAAGTCTAGGGTTTCCCATCACCGAGTCACCGAAGCCTCTCTGATTGCTCTGTGAGAATTAACAGGCATCTCCTAGGGACAACTTTCTTGGTCCTGCCTATAAGTCGCTGGCTCGACCATCTCTCTCATACCCACATCTGCAGGGGCAGATGTTGCTCATTGTTAGCTATGAAAAGTGTAGCTTAGCCTCATCAGTGGCTAACCCAAGGTGTTTGCGTGGTGTTTCTCTGATGTCCAGTTTGGGATGAAACACCTGTGAGTCCGGTTCCACCAAACACCCTTTCTGAGATGTGGGGAGTCTGGACTGAAGAGGCAGTGGCAGTGATGAGGGGGCTGGAGGCAGCTGACCCTGGAAGGAAGGGTCACCACTGACCAAATAACTGTCCTGTATTTTAACCTTGCCTCGCCCTTGTCTGAGGTAGGACCCACTGCTGAGTGATGGCAGAGGAGAGAGAAAGGGCAGTGGCTGCTCCAAGAAGCACGTTTTTAGGTTCTCTGATGAGTGCTGTATGTGTGGGTGGGGCGCACTCAGGGAAGAGACACCGGTTATCAGTGTAACTGTGGTAAGCATGAAGGATGATGCTGAAGAAGACAGAAGTGACCAGTCATTTACATCTAGAAGCTCCATTCCTGCTCTTCCTGCCTTTTCTCCCATGCCTTTTCTGGCCAAGTTCCTACTCACTCTTTGAGGGCTTCAAACGCCACCTCCTCTCTGAAGCCTCTCTGATTGCTCTGTGAGAATTAACAGGCATCCCCTAGGGACAACTTTCTTGGTCCTGCCTATAAGTCACTGGCTCGACCATCTCTCTCATACCCACATCCGCAGGGGCAGATATTGCTCATTGTTAGCTATGAAAGTGTGGCTTAGCCCCATCAGTGGCTAACCCAAGGTAACACCCAGAATGTGGCCTGAAGCCAGTTTCCAATGGATACACATCTTCTTCAAGCTCAAGCATTTAGCCATTAGGTGACAGTGTCTCCTGAAGAAAATAGGCGAGGGGGAAAGAATGACATATCACATTAAAACCTGTCATTTCGTCACTTATAGCAGGAGAATAAAGGACCAGGGGAGAAAATAACAATAATAATGAACAGCTATATACCAGAGACATTTTATGGGGTGGAGTGGGGAATGGGATCAAAAACAGTGGGGGGCAGGGAAATGCACTGGACGATGGTGATGGCACATGGGTGACTCGGTGATGGGAAACCCAAGGGGATTGCAACTGAGATGGAAAAATGCACAAAAATATGTAAAAATAAACTATCATTGGAAAAAAAAAAAAAGGGAAAACCCTGTCATTTTGCTGGAACTGGATTTCCCAAGCCAGATTCCCAGGAGGCACCTTCACTTGTCTGAGGTCGTCAACGCCCTCCTGAGGCATTGTCCAAAGACAATGTGTTTCTCTTTTCCTAAATGCTTCATCTTCATCCCTGTCATAACCACAAGAGTGCCCTTATGGCCTCCAGGCTTGTCTGTCAGTTCCCCTATATTTAGAATTTCAGCCAGCTCCCCAACATTTATGGGATAAACGTGGTACTCTGTCACACGAGGCTCTGGTGATGGTGCCTGATGAACTCCGTGCCCTCTCTTGCCCTGAGCCTCTCCTCTCTCCCTGGCATAGGGCTGGGTCTCTGGAACAGCCTTCCCCAGCTCACCTTTGTCTGTTTCCTACTCACCCTTCAGGCTCCTGGAAGGCCCCTGTGAAAAGGATACCTTGAGACACAGGCAGGGCGGACCCAGCTCTCCGTGGCACAGAGGACCCCACCCAGCACTGCACCTACCTCCCCATGGAGGTCCTGTACCCAGAGCCCAGCCTCATAGGGGGCAAGCACTCAGTGAGTGCAGTCAGGAGGAAGAGGGGTGACAGGGAGGCACTTGGTGTGTGTGGGGGAACAGAAACAAGCTCAGAGCTCATGGGCATGAGTCAGCCTCACGGCACCCAGGACTTACCTCACCCCACGAAGACACCACCCACTGCAGTCGGTTGTTTTTGGGGCACCGGCCTAGCACACAGCCCTCCTGTGCCTCTGGTCTCGGGGTGCTGGAGCACAGGCCCTCGGGGAGGCTCCCGGCCTCGGAGGAATGCTGGCACAGGACTTCCCGTTTTCTCACCCCTCGGCCGCAGGTCTTGGAACACTTGAGGCGGGAAAAAGAAAACAGCCATGGGCATGCCAGTTTCAAGTGATTTTCTTCCAGATAAGGACATGTTCACAAAGAGTTTGCAAAACCGTTTTTAGGCATAGAAGCAAAGGCCCCATCAGATGGCTGGCGGCCTTCTGGACAGCCCTCCTTTCACCCAGAGGCCTGTAGTGAGGGCACATACTCCCCTGGCCTTGCTGAATGCACAGTGGTGGCCACAGTGGCCCAGGTCTGAAGGTGATTTTTGTTCACTGAAGAAGCCAGGTTTTCTCTTCGTAGCACACCAGAAACCCTGGGAAATTCTATATGGCTCATTGGCCAGTGGAAGCATGTCTCCCTCTGACATGAGGCTACAGAGGATGATTCGTGCTGCTCACCAGGAGAGCAATAGCCAGAGGACCTGCACCTATAACAGCAGCGGGCTGTGACATTTATTAAATTTGGTTGAGGGGGCTGATTCCTGTTCCTGACACCTGCTTCCTCCAGTCTGGGCACTGCATTATGGGGGAAAACAGCAAACGCTCATACAATGATTGTGTGGTTATTTTTTTTTTTTTTAACTTATTTTATTCACATGAGCTGGGGTATAGGTCAGAGGTGGGGAGGGTTGAGTGGGGGTGGTTGAGAGGATTCACCAGAGACAGAGTAGGGAGCAGAATAGCTGGATCTACTGAATACACTGCTGAGGGGAAGAGCACGTAAGACTGGGGAGGTCTGCTCTGCCATGGGGGTCAGCTCCCTGGCTGGGGATGGAACTCATGCTGAAGTTGCTGCGGACAGCTTCATAGTGCTGACACTTAAGTCCTTGCACCACCAGGGAGGCCCCAGAGTGGCCATTCTTGCAAGCACATTTACTTTCTTCATCATCCCAGAATTTTGGGAAACAGGGCAGCCAGTAAGGGTCTTGCTTTCTCATTTGAGTGACTTGTCTGAGTCACTCATTCACTGACATACTGTCCAAGCTGTTTTAGTGCTGCAAAGGCAGAATTAAGTAACAATAATGACCACATGCTCCATGGGTTTTCAGGGTCCAGGTGGCCCACCCTGGCCTTCCTGGTCTGGTTCTCCCCTCAGCAGGGCCAGAGGAGAGGTGCTGTTTGATAGCAGAAGTCTAGACACACTTCCCAGCCTGCCCAGAACCAATGTGAGCTCCCCCATGTGACATCTCATGGGAGACGGAAACAGAGGAGGATGCCAGTGTCTTAGTTAGCATCATCTGCCAGCCACAGCAGCACAGGGCCTTTGTGCCTTCCCGTGATGATGACTGTCAGCTTAACTATCTTCTGGATCCCAGGAATCTTCAACATCCCCATGGTCATTTCCAGCATCCCATTTTACACAAGAGGGCTGAAAAGCAGATAGGTTAGGTGTCTTGACCAAATATTGGAGATGGGCAGACAAACTTGTCTCATGCCAGACTATGGCAGGCTCAGCGAGGCACCACCAACTCTATTCCTCATCCACATCCACCTTTCTAAGTGAGTCATTCTTATTTTATATTTGTGCTTTTTTTTTTTTTCAGAATGGCAAAATTTTTCAATAGCTGTCCAAGGGGCTATGTGGCCTTTATGGAGGTCTAACAGGTTGTCAGATGGGATACCGAAGGACTTTATTCATAGTGTCATGGACAAGTTCTCGAAAGAACAAAGGCTTCATTTGTCAAAAGAAATAAACTGGAAAAAGAAAAACATTCTCTCAAAACATTTCCGGGTGAAACTCAAGATAAGCTCTGTGAACGGAAGCTCCCTTCATAATGTCTCATTTAGAATTCCCTCTCTTCTCCCATTACCACACTCAAAACCATCCTTATAATTTACAAAGGATGAATTCAAACTCCTCGATTGAAGAGGGAAGATGAGGCACAACCCAATGATGGGTGACTCAGTTTCCCCTTTTCTATTAATATACTTATAGCATCTCCAAGATATTCCTACTCCTAGGATCTTGACCCCCTAACATGTAAGATTTCAAAAAATCCCATAATGTTTTATCTCTAAAAAATAAATAAATAAAATAAAAGCCTTCTTCTGACCTCTGTGGGAGATGTGATAATGCATTGCTAAGTAATCTGAAATCAGCTCCCTCTAGGATGTAATGTGCCCTATGGGGAACTGTGTGAGGGGCTACTAACTTGCTTTTTACTGCATTTTTTTTTAAGATTTATTTATTTGTGCATACAGAACTGGGGTACAGGCCAGAGGCTCAGGGGTGGTGAGAGGCTTCACCAGAGACAGAGTGGGGGGCAGAACAGGCAGATTGACGAAGTACACTGCTGAGGGGAGCAGCGGGCGGGTCAGGAGAGGTCTGCCGCGCCATGTGGTCTCCTCCGGGGCAGGCGGGATTTGAACTCATGTGGAAGTGGCTTTAGCTTCTCAGTGCAGTGCTTTAACCCGCTGCGCCACCAGGGAGGGCCCCTAACTTGCTTTTTACTGCATTTTTTTTTAAGATTTATTTATTTGTGCATACAGAACTGGGGTACAGGCCAGACACTCAGGGGTGGCAAGAGGCTTCACCAGAGACAGAGTGGGGAGCAGAACAGGCAGATCGACGAAGTACACTGCTGAGGGGAGCAGCGGGCGGGTCAGGAGAGGTCTGCCGCACCATGTGGTCACCTCCAGGGCAGGCGGGCATCGAACTCATGCGGAAGTGGCTTTAGATTCTCAGTGCTGTGCTTTAACCCGCTGCACCACCAGGGAGGGCCTTTCTTATTGCATTTTTAAAAAAGGTTTATTTATTTATGCATACAGAACTGGGGTACAGGCCAGAGGGGCAGGGGTAGTGAGAGGATTCAGCAGAGACAAAGTGGGTAGCAGAACAGGCAGATGGATGAAGTACACTGCTGAGGGGAGCAGCGGGCAGGTCAGGAGAGGTCTGCTGGGCCACATGGATCACCTCCGGGTTGGGGATCAAGCTCATGCAGTAGTGGCTTTAGCTTCTTAGTGCTGTTGCTCTAAACTGCTACGCCAACATGGAGGGCCCTATTTACTGCATTTTTTATAACTGTTGCATGTAGGATGTAGGCCAGAAGTGCAAGGGGTGAGAAGACTCAGCAGAGACAGAGTGGGGAGCAGAACTGGTAGACTGACTGAAATACACTGCTGAGGGGAGCAGCGGGCAAGAGAGGTCTGCTGCGCCATGTGGGTCAGCTCTCTGGAGCCGGGGATTGAACTCAGGCCGTAGTAATCACAGCTACGAGGGAGGCTCTACTTCTCTATTTTTAAACTGTCTGGCTCCCCGGGGTTCAGTGAAGTTGGGCAGACTTCTCACCCTCGTGCACGGACCAGATGATTTTATGTCTGGGGAGCTGCCCAGTACACTGTGGGATGCTCCTCTCTGCCCACCAGAACAGCAGTACCCCTGCCCCAGGATCACAGTCAACAGTGTCTCCAGACATTGCCAAGTGTCCCCTGGAGAGCATATTCTCAGCAACCCCTGCCTCACCTTGAGAACCTGAGTTTGTGAATGTTAGACAGGCAGTTTTGCACCTCAGGCATCTTGAGAATTTTGTTCTCACTGGCATTTGTGACAGCAGTAAACTGCCCAGCCTCCCTCTATATTCTTCCAGCCCACCTCTCTCCATGGAAGCAAGGGTTAAGTACACTTGTCACACCTTCTTTTTGCTTTTTTTTTGGGGGGGGGGGAATCTGGTAGCCAGTTTCATCTTGCACGATTTATATGCAAATCCTTCCTGTCTTTGCTTGCTAGCCTACCTGGTTCATACTAATTTCTGAACTTCTAAGGAGAATTCCTAAGCTACTGAAGAGGTATGGCCAATCAGGTTATTCAAGAATCTCTAAAAACAAAAGAATGAATGAAAACTGTCCCCTTTCATGAATTCAGTGTGGTTTCCATGAAGATATCAAGACTCATGGCTCCAAGCCTCCCCCATTACCTGAGACCAGGGCCCCAGGCTCCATGTCGGTGGGCAGGGCTGGCTATTGCAGACTTGAACCTGAGTGGGTGTGCTCACTGGGCAGAGAGAATGCAACACCGCCTCCTCCTTCTGGAAGGGCTTCTTCTGGACGCACTGCATCTTCCGGCTCTGCTGGCCCCCTGCACACGACCTGCTGCACACGCTCCATTCACCTGGCTTCCAACTGTCGTGAAAAACAGGAACCTCCAGTGAGACTTTTGGATCATTCAAAGCAAATACTGTGAAAGACGAACCACTTGAGGAAAGCCTTAAATTACGTTCACAACCATTGAGGGCGATCCGTTCTTTTGTGGATTTTGATGTCTACCCTAACATGGTCGAGATATAAGGAGTCACATTGAATCATCATGTCTTTTAGGGAAAAGAAGTGAGCTGGATATACAACGTAAGGGGGAGGGAGACATGAAAGAAGATGCCACAAGTGAGACAAGTAGACCCCTGGAGGTAATCCTTGGAAGAGATACCTGGAAAGGCTGCTCCTCATCACTGACAGAGATAATGGCAACTATTACCCTGACCTCATCGTAGAGTCTTTGCTAGATTATTGTCTGTTATATTTTGAATTTTGAGTTCTTCTGTCACATCTCTCTGGGACGTGACACTTTGGCTTTTGTGGTTCTCTGACTTGTGGCAAGCTTTTGGGCCCTGCTGCAGACATTTGCCCACAGGGATTATGTGGGCAACTATTATTTGAAATCATTTGTCTCTCTATGCACACCAATTCTATTAACAATTTTTCACATTATGACTGTTTCCACTGCCTTTGTGTACGCCGATGGCAGAATCCCTTCTAGAGCATGTACCCCTTAACAGTTCAGGGGCCTTGGGTGCTCCTTGGTTGCATGCTAACATTTACATTTCTATTACCATCTGTGTTCTAGGGCCATCCACTAAAAAACTGCTTCATGAACCTAATTTTATGTTAAAGATATAAATGAATTCCTTATATTTGCATCATTTGTAGCTTTATAATCAAATATAAAATAAGCATGTATTATGATAAGAGCATTAGTTTTAACATTTGCAAATTATGATACCAAATTCAGAATTTTTTCCTTTATGCAACAAATATGATGAGTTTATAAAAACATGAAGAAAGCTGTCATACAAACAGACTTTTTGCAGGCTACGCTGAGTTCCCCATATTTGGAACCCAGCTTGCTTGGACACTAGCCTGATTCTCTATCAATCCTCACACCTCGGAGTCCAGATACCTACACCAACCACTCTCTCCCCTGCGACTTTATATCTAACATTTTTTATAACATGGATCTCATTAAATTTTAATGATCTAGCCTTACTCACTTTTTACATTTGGTTGTGACTCATCAATGGCAGGAATTCATATCCCAGCTCCTAGCTCAGGGCTTGTTACATGGCCAAAATGGTGCGAGCACAGATGAACTCCGTCCTCAATTTAATAGTCTTAGAGTCTGAGCTCTTCTTTTAGTATATCCCTGGGGAGAATATCCCCTGAACTGTCTCCCTGCTTCAACAGAAGATGCTGAGAGATAAATAGCAGGGAGAAGAAGGGAACAAATGATTCTGCCCATTTTCCTCCCCAAACTTGAGGGTCATTGGGAGGGCTGGTTCTGCTGGTAACCACCTCAGACACTTGTTAGTGCACAGAACGTCACTTCCCCATGTAGTCATTGGGGAAGTTCTAGAAGGGAGGCATGACCGAGGCTCTTACCCTTTCCACAGAATCCACAGAATAGGGTCCCTGTCCTAACCTGGTGGAGATAATGAATGATGGGAGGAGATTTAAAATTAGAGGGCATCAGCTTGCTCTTCAAACCTACTGCCAGCCTCTACACATATTTAAACTTACATGTACTCAAAGCTTGGCTAAAGGAGCAATTTTCTCCACACGGTAAATAACAGTGTCTGCTCATAAAGTCTTAGGGTCGCTGGGTATTTCTTTTCTTTTTTTTATTTGCTTTTTTTCAATTTATTTAAAAATATGTTCATTATATCACCCTTCATTTTTGTGCAATGCATGGTCTCCCTGTGAAATTCCCACCACCCATTCCCCCGAGCACCATCACTGTAGTCCCTGGTGCTCATCCCAACCCTGTCCTGGTCTTTCTCCCTCCTCCTCCCTTCAGAATGTTTCTGATCTTCTGATCTATAATTGTTTGCCAATTGTGATTTTTACTTTATTATAGTTTTTTTCCCCCCTCTTAGAACCTGGTATCTCTTAGCCTAAGAGGGAAATCCAGGCATTTCCTAAATGTCTTTCTCCTTTTTGTATTCAGAATACAACTGCTTCCACATCCTAAGAGAAAAACTAGAATGAGAGGCAGCCATCTGGGATTGGTAGATAGCTGAATCCCAAGCAATTATGACAAACACTGCATAAAAGGAAAAAATGTATGTAGTATATAAAAAGATTGTGCTATATAATTGCATCACCACAAAGCAAACACTACTTATTAAGATGAACTGAAACATTAGTGAACACAACACTGATTTAGAAAAATGTCTTCTAGTTCTATATAAATACATTTGGCAATAGATAAATCACATAAGAGATCCCATTTGGCTGGGAAGATTACTTAAAATTAGTGTTCAAACAATAGTGTGGCTAAAATCAATCCCAAAACAAACCCAATGAGCTCCCCATAGTGAACCATCATCAGAAGCGGGGTTACCACTTGGCCTCAACCCCTTTTTAAGAAAAAAGTTGTGTCTTGCTACTGTGTAATTTGCATTTGGGTTTCATGGTCTGCATAGTATGATATTTAGATTCTTGGATGACTATAGACAAGCACATGTACATTTAGCTAATGTAGGATTTGGTGTTATTGAACTATGTTTTAGTTTAGAGGAGAGGGATTGCTACATACAAGGATTTTAAAAAAGAAAGACCCGTATGCATTTTTTATCGCAAAGTTAAATGTACAGATGACTGTCTAAAGTAATTTGAGTTTTTCAATTTATATATGTTAACCTCAACTATCTTTTTGTTTCTTCCATTACTTTGTTTTGGTGTGTGGATTTGATGTGTGTTCTGGGGGGTTATTTTATTTACCTTTGAATCCCTTTCAATCAGAAGCATGGGCAGCGAGTGGTCTTAAGTGATTTCTTAGCTACATTAAAAGCCACCAGTATGAACATAACAAGAAGGATGCTGCCCCATCACTTACTAGGCAGGGCAGGAGAAAGCGTTGCAAGTTTTGGGTTCCGTTGCTGGCTTGGTCCTTGCATTGCAGAATGAGGTGTTTACTTGTATACTGAGATCTCTTAAGCAAACAGCCTTTACACTTATATAACCTGGGAAGATATCAGAAATTACTAGTGAATACTACAGAATCTTATTTCATGTTAGTTTTTACATTCAGCTTTTGGTTTACCAGAGTTCTGATAGTTAAGATCTGGAATCCTAATATTTTGTGAAAATACCTCCTTTTGAGAAAATCCATAGATAATTTGAACCCCATTCTCCCCACCCCAACATGAGAGCTTTCCTACTTTAATAGTGATAATGGGTAGCTTCTTAGTTTTTAATACTGCTGTGGATCCTAGAAACAAAAGATGATAAATACAACCTTCAGAAACAGGACAGCTATAAAGTAAAATATCCCAGAAGCTGTAACTCACATGGTAAATGTCTAAAAAAAAAGGTTCTTCAATAAAAAAAAATCATCATACATAAAACTCTTAAGATTCTGCTTTCCCATGAAGCATTCTTCTATTTCCATAATTGTATGATATGCTTATAAACAAGAAGATGAACTCACAGACTATCTAGTCCTTCCTGTCAGCTAATTATCAGTGCTTTTGGTACCTCCAGCCTTGTTCCAGTGTTTATTTGGGATCTATCAGAGGTATACGTGTGTGTACTTGTGTGTGTGTGTGTGTGTGTGTGTGTGTGTGTGTGTGTGTATGAACAATATGATTTGTCAGTTCCCCGGAGAAGGACGTTGCCTCCTCTATGAATTGCATTTGCCTTCTAACTGGCTGAAAGGATGGCAGTCCCCTTTCCTTGTTTGTAATGATTATTTCTTAGATTTCATTCTTTTTTCCTACTGAAGGAAACTTGGCTGAGTTAACCCCCTTAAGTACTGGAATGACACAATATTTACCTTTTCAAGAGTTTTGGTTTTTGTATTCTCACTCATCTTCACCCTATGCAAATCCCAGTGGTAGTTTTACAATCATAGAAAAGTCAGGAATGCAAACAGCAAGATGAAAAAAACTTGTTTGTAGAGACGTACACCTGTACATAGCCTTATATTTACAAGTAAACATAACTATTTTATATTTTTGCCTCTATGTTTCAGAGGTGTTCATTTTGGGCTGGGTTTGGTTGACTTGAATTTTGTAAGAATTGGTTACTTTTCCAAGGAAAATCCTCAAATAGTACAATAATAATTACTTTCCACAGGGATGGGTTCCACTAAAAACAGTTCTTTTGTTGCTTATTTAATAAACCATACAATTTGAAGAGGCCTGGGGTGAAAAATCCTACTTTAAGATGACACGGAGAAGATGGAATGAAAAAATCAACTACCTCCACCACAAGAGACAGAGCAGTCCGACTGCAAAGCGCGCCAGGCGTGGCTGTGTCTTTTTGAGGCAGGCGGGGTTCCATTCGTGACCTTGGGAAGTGAGTACTTCCAAGTGATCCCTGGGTTTTTGCCTTGCATCAGAATCTGCATAGTGTCAGACACAAATCAGAGATCAAGATACAGGTCAGAGCTGGAATTCCAGAAATCTCACTGAACATTTTAAAGACAGTTGCATGACATTTCGACCTGAAAGTTGGTTCACATCTTGTTCCCAAGTGCAGCTTAGGTTGATTTAAAGTGACATTTTAAAAGGTGTATTCCCATATCATCATATCATCAAAACTGTGGACTAGAGAGCTGGTAAATACGTCACATGGCATTCCTCAAATGAAAGTAGGCACAATTAATAAAACTAAAACTTTTTTTTTCAACATGACACTGAAGGAACAAAGGTTACTTCTTTAAAGATTTATTTATTTGTGCATACAGAACTGGGGTACACGCCAGAGGTGCAGGGGCAGAGAGAGGATCACCAGAGACAGAGTGGGGAGCAGAAGAGGCAGATCGACGAAGTACACTGCTGTGGGGAGCAGCGGGCGGGTCAGGAGAGGTCTGCCACACCATGTGGTCACCTCCAGGATGAGGACTGAACTCGCCCTGAGGTAGCTTTAGCTTCTTAGTGCTATGTTTTAATCCACTGCATCTAACGTGGCACCAACAGACCGTGCTCCACAGACAATGCCCAAGTCCACCTATATACATTTCTATGCTTTGTCCTGGCTGCAATTTATAACCCTTCTCCTGATAATGCCAGAAGCTGGGCACAAAGGCAGGAAAAACTTCAGGACAACTTATTTAGATTTATCCATCATCAGTGCTAGAACCCACAAAGGTTTTCAATGGGATTTTCCAGGGAATTTACTCAAAGACAAAGTGACTGTTAATTGTGTTCTGGAATGATAGGAAGTAGGGACTGGTGATACAGATGCTGGAATGGGTTTAACCTCTACCGGGCAAGAACTTAAGATTTGGCTACTGGAAGATTTGACTACTAAAATAAGATGAATCACTAACTGGCACTTCTCAGGGCCATTGGGCTTTTTTTCCTGTGAATTATCTCCAAACATTTATCTAAAGACTCTATAATCTGTCAGTCTATTTCTTTCACTGGAGGAAACCAAGACTAACGAGCTTGTGCAAGATCACACAGGTGATTTGTGAAAGAGCTTGAAATAGAATATATGACCTCTAACCACATGTTTTTAGTGTATGAAACATTATTTGGCCCTCTTCTTGATGCTCTCTTTTCCATTTTTTAATTTTTTTTTCAAGATCAAAGCATGCATATAAATAGTTAGTTCTCTCCCAACCCTGTGAGTCTTGTGGAAAATTCTTTACCACCAAAACTGGGCATTCATCGCCAAAAAGCAAAACAGATTTCTAGTTAAAATAAGAATCCCTGGCTCTATCTCTGCCTGGTGGGATCCCACTTCAATTAAGGGTGGGTGGGTGGCAGCTGTTCAAGGACCTCCGTTATTCTAGACCATTCCTTAGGATGTTCAAAATGATTTTCACTTCACTATTAACTTAAAAAGTCTCCAGAAATATTATGGCTTACTCTGGAGAGTCCATGCTGTGAATATCACTTTGTTGTACAAACCAAAGCCTTGGTGATTCCCAGAACAAAAAAAATATAAATAGATGGGTCTTTGTTCCCCCATCCCAAACAAAGAAAGTACCCCTAAAAGGAACAGATGCCAAATTTTCACTAGTTACCAATGAAAACATTCTGAAAATCCTATGGGTACTTTAGTTCTGAGGGTCTTTCTAGTCTTGCCTTTCTTATTTTTCATCTCAGTCTTACAGCTGTTCTTGGCATTGTGTATTCAAATACACACTTCATCCATTTTTAATATATGGCATGCTTTCCTTGAGATTTTGCAGTATTTCTCTTAATATTTCATGCGACCACTCCCAAAATCATACTACCCCAGGGCTCTGCAACAGACTGTTGCAGTGAAGAGAATGTACTATAATCCTGTGTTGCTGACATATTCAGCAGCCAGTGGGCATCTCGGCTTGAATGTTGAACAGGTGTAATAATGCCCAAGAGTGGATGCATGATTTCTCCCTTTCTCTCAAAGGCCTCTCTTCCAAGCCTCACAAAATGGCAACCTAAGCCTTCCAATTGTTTAAACCAGAAGAAAAAGTTGGCAGCACCCTGATCTCTCTTTTTCTGATGCCCACATCTAACTGAATAGAGATGGTGTGTATCTTGACATGCCACATATCTCTAATCTGACTTCGCTTCACTCTGTTCATTGCTGTTGCTTTCCCCTGGCTTGACTGTTACTGCCTTTTCTAGTTCCATCCACATGCACTGGAGGGGTGGGGAAAAGCCGTATTTGCTAGTGGTGAAGGTAGGACAAGGCCACACATATAAAAGATGCAGTGATGCTGTTGGTGGGAATGCAAACTGGTCCAACCACTATGGAAAGTTGTATGGAGGTTCCTTAAATTACTAAAAAATGCATTTACCATATGATCCAGTGATTCTGCTCCTAGGAATCTACCCAAAGGACACAAAAACATCACTTCAAAAGGAAACTTCACACCTGTATTCACTGCAGCACTATTGCATTATTTACAATAGCTAAGATAAGAAAACAACCTAAATGCCCCCAAAGAGATGACTGGGTCATCACACACACACACACACACACACACACACACATGAATACTATTCAGTAGTCAAAAATGATAAACCCTGCCATTTATACTAACATGGATGGAGCTAAAAAGGGCTATGCTCAGCGAAATAAGCCAGAAGGAAAAAGAAAAAATATTGGATGGTTTCACTTATAGGAGGAATACAGGGGAACCAATCAAAGGGTTAAAAACAAAAGATAAAACTTGTGGGAAAACTATAGATTTGAGCCATACAGCAAGAGAGAGATATGGAGAGGGATCAAAACAGGGGAGGGAAGAGCACAAGGGACTATGGTGTGGTGGTGGGAGATTTATGGGGACCACACATGATCAGCAAAATCGCATATTGTACAAAAATAAGCAACATTGTAAGAAAATAAAAAAATGAAAAAAAACAATTTATTGTTAGGAACTTAAAAGATTAAAAGTACCACAGACCCTGTAAAGGGAAATCAAATACTGCTGTGAAACTGGGGGAGGAGAGTGACAAGCAAGAAGTTTTGTGTCTGTCACTTCATTAAAAGTGTAGCTTGGGGCCCTCCCTGGTGGCGCAGCGGGTTAAAGCACAGCACTGAGAATCTAAAGCCGCTTCCGCATGAGTTCAATTCCCGCCTGCCCAGGAGGTGACCACATGGCGTGGCAGACCTCTCCTGACCCGCCCGCTGCTCCCCTCAGCAGTGTACTTCGTCGATCTGCCTGTTCTGCTCCCCACTCTGTCTCTGGTGAATCCTCTCACCCTCCGCATCTCTGGCCTGTACCCCAGTTCTGTATGAATAAATAAATAAATCTTTAAAAAAAAAAAAAGTGTAGCTTGGTGGATGGTTTCAGCAACAAAACAGTACCTAAGTTTTCTTTGGGAATTTCTATTCTCTTCCTAAGGACCAAGCTTTCATAGTGAGTTTCCTACTTCCTGTTCTTCATAAACAGAAATATGTGAAGGTTCTCTGAAAAGTTATATTCTTGAGCTGAAAGTAAGAACGTCAGCAAACAGGGTACTTACTGACAAGAAGGCTACTGATCCATTATGTATTATCAAGGTACTTACTCAGCTGAAACAAGAAGAGAAAGAACTCACAATTTAGTCTAAGTGTCCACAGGATTATGCAAACTTTAAATAGTGACCTCACCACTACAGAGTAGCTGGTTATTGTTGTAGTACCAGTATAATCTTGTAACGATAGGCCATTCAGTTTACATTTCGTTTGCTGAACATATGAATGCATCAGTGAATGCATAAACGGATGAGACACTGGGCCTTAAAAATTCTTACAGTGATGCAAGGCACGACTATAAGATCTGGGGAACTGTAAATTCACATGCAGTGCTTTGCATGTAATCACGTAATCACGTAGGCTGAAAAACAATATTTGCACAGACTAGCAGAAAGCTAACTTAAGGATTCAATATTAACTCACAAAATCCTCTTAAAGACAGTAATTATTTCAACAAATAGACACGAAGACCAAATATATAAAAGATGAGCATTTGCCAATTTGCCTCTAACTGATAATTAAGATGTTCATTCTGTGTTGAGGAGAAAAAAGGCCAAGAACAACTGCATGATGCTTGCAAACAGTCTTTTGGAAACAGACTGTTCACCTGGCTAGTAGAATCTCTGGGGCCCTTTCCTTAGCCCTGTTGTCAAAAAAAAGCCCTGGGCTTTTTTTTTCCCCCAAAATCAATTACCCTAAAAGCATGCCTGTAGAATTTGTGTGGTCCAGTGTAAAATGAAGAAGCAAGGTCCCTTATTTAAAAAAGCTATGGAGTTCAAGGTTGTGACTACCATATGAACCAAATTCAGGGTAGGCTGAGCTTCTGGAGCATCTGATCCTAGCGGCTCTGGAGGTTCCACATCTGTGAAGCCCATTCTAAAGTCAAGGTTTTCTCAACTGCATAGATCAGAGGACACAACTAAATATTTTCCAAAATCTATTGATAAATGACCAAGGAGCCTAAGCATGACTCACCAGCTCTTCCTACATGGCACCAATAGCCTCCAATCTGGAGGCTGGTTCCTACTAAGTTCTCACTTGAGAATGTGCCCTCTGCCCTAGCCAGGAGGCTGGAGGATCTTGCACTCTGTATGATCAGCTAAGATCCTAAGTGTCACTGTGAATGCCTTAGCCACACCTCATTTGAAAAGGACAATTCCCATCACTTATATCTGTTTTGCAACATTTTCAGGAACTTTGTCACGAGCAGTCAGCAGCTTTTCTCAGCAGTAGTGGAGCACATGAATGCCTTCCAGGTCAGGAGAGCGCCACATTGGCCAGTTGGGCACAACGTCATGGTCACGGGGCTTCTAAACCCGCCCAAACTGCCTGTCAGGCTGTCCAGCCGAGCTGTTAAACGCACAAATTTGGAGAGACCGCCAGGGATTCCGTCTACTTAACTGGACGCAGTCCAGAGAATTTTCCAGCCAACTGGCACTGGGT